TCATTTAGTGGCCACCAAGGTCAATATCTACTCCTCATTCTGCTGGGCGGAGGGGATGGTCTCCTGTCCTGGGACACCCCTCTCATTCCCTCACAATACCTTCACTAAGACCCTAGGCCCAAATCAGGAACAGAGTGATGACCGAGGGTTGGCCCTGCCACCTACAGTTTCACAATCTAAGAGGTAGAGAAAGACACCATGCATGCGTGCATACAGCCAGCCCCAAGTCCTTCATCTTCATTTCTCCCCTTACTTCTGCATAACCAGAGGGACTGGAGCCCAAATGTGGAGTCAGCATGCCAAGTCATTCTAATCTCCTTCAGCCAGTTTCTACTCTTTCTTTAACTTTACATTTTTTAAATATTTATTTATTATGTATACAATATTCTGTCTGTGTGTATGTCTGCAGGCCAGAAGAGGGCACCAGACCCCATTACAGATGGTTGTGAGCCACCATGTGGTTGCTGGGAATTGAACTCAGAACCTTTGGGAGAGCAGGTAATGTTCTTAACCACTGAGCCATCTCTCCAGCCCCCTTAACTTTACATTTTTATTACATTTTTTTTTATTCTGGGGGAAGGGGTGCAAGCTTTGGCATGTGATTGACAGACAGAGGATAAACTTCTGAGTTGATTTTTCTCCTCCTACCATGTGGGTCCCAGGGACTGGACTTAGGTTTTCATCTTGGGGAGCTCAGGTTCCCCTGCCTGCTGAGCCATCTTATCCACCCAATTTCTACTCTGCCTGCTTTCGTCTCCTGCAATGTGCATCAGTTTGGGGGCTAGAAGTCTGCTACCCTCGCCTGCTTGGGGGTCCAGAACGTGTCCACCTAGCTTCTGTAAGGTCCCACACATCTGATGGACGGGGTCTCTCTTTTCCTTATGGAGGCTTCTCTCAAGGACTTACAGCAGGAGTGAACCGGTCTGTGCGGAGCTCAGGGCCAGGGTAGGAAAAGAGCTACTTACCCACACACCTGGGGCAGCACTGCTGCGGCTCCACCACAGGTTGTGAGCAGCGGAGGGGCGGGCAGCGGAGGCGGTAACAATTCACGTGGCCACTCTGAAACAGACACGTGGTCAGGCCTTTTTCCAAAGAACCACTGCCTATATCTACAGGGGTCCTCGCCCCAAACATCCACCCCGACTGCAGAACCCCGCTTTCTCTTCAGCCTCTGTATAATAGAATCCAAAACAAACTCAATGAGCCCATCCCAACTCTGCCACCAAGCGACCTCACTTAGCCTACGATTCTGCTTCATCCGTGCAGAGGACAGACCTGTCATGGGTTTGCATAGACCACATGGCCCCTTCGTGGGTATGAGAAATAGAAATAAAAGCCTTGAGGTATCTGGGCATTGATCTTGGTCCTCTGTCCAGGCTATTTTTAACTCTAAGACGTTTTTCTTACAGTACTGTCCCTAAGCTTTGTGTTCATAGGAGAACTGTAACACAAGAGGGCAGTGACCAAGACAGGACTTGTTCTTTATCATCCTATTCTCCAAGTCTCCAAGAGGTCTGGGGAACCCTGGACAGACCCTCTGGGGTTGGTACCATAGAAGGAGGGATCTGAAGTTTTTTCAAGTCATCCAGTTCAGCAGGTGAAAAAGAATGAGACAAACACACATAGCAAGAAATGGACAGAGGCTAAGATAGAGGCCATAGCCCCTAGCAGAGGTTTCCCAGAACTCCAGGCTGTCTCTCAGCTCTTCCTCAGCGTCCTCACACCTTCTTGTTCTTGCCCCTGTGCCAGACTCATTGTGATGTATGTTTGCATCTGTCTTTCCTGTTCAACCATGAACTCCAAAGCGTGGTTGGCATGGGGTCTGACTCCACTAAAATCCGTCAGTGTGAGCCAGTGGTGACCTGGTGAGTCAGGTCAGTCATGAGCGCTCTCAAATCAATGGTTCTAGCATCGATCAAACCCTAACTTGACCAAGTTGGCTCCAGCTCTCTAGTGTGTAGCTCCCTTTTATCCCCTCTGCCCAGCAGGGTCTATGGACAGAACTTCTCCCAGAGACAGTCTCTTACACCAAGGAAGATCCTAGACTGCCCAAGTCTCTCTGGAGTCCCTGCTTCCCAAGACGGCCAGAGAGAACACTAAGGATTGGTCAGAAATGGCTTGAGTTTCAACAGTGACCTCACCTGTGAAGCTCAATCAACCTCAAGAGGGTAAACTGAGGGCTAGGTGAGAAGCTAGGTGAATTTGAAGGATGTGTGATCTAAAGAGCTAGAATCTTTCTCTTGGCTCTTGCTGAAATGTGAACAGCAGGCAGCAGTGGGTCAGGTCGGGGGACAGCCTGGGCTAAAAGGGCACAGACATGGCATGAGGCAGGGCTCTTTGTGGCCAGAGGGAGCTTCTCTTTAAGGTCAGATCCACCATTTTTGGAGTGGCTGTGTAAATATAGATGACCTCACATCCTGTCCTTAATAATAACCTGAGAGGCACTACCATCCATACAGGATGCGAAGAATCTCCCAGAGGCTGCCTGAGACCACACAGCAGCTGACCACCATCACCAGGGTCCATGCCTGCCTGGGATGCTGAGACAACCTTGAGTGCTTATACTGGACATAGATGCACAACCAGGATAAGGGACAGTCTATGGACAGTCTATCTGTTCTCAGAAGCCTGCATCTTAGTGGCTGGAGATGGACCATAGGGCTTTAAGAAGCAGGGGCAAGCTAACTTCAGGTGTTACGGTTATGGCCATGAACAAGCCAGGTGATGTGATTAGAAGACAGATCCGGAGACTGTGCGAGAAACCCTCCTAATGAGGTGATAGCTTCACTGTGAACCAGGAAGGGAAAAGCTGCTGTCCCTGAAATTAGAGGAAGACTCTTGGGAGGGAATAGAGGGAAGGTACCAAATGTTGGAGGTTCAGACTGGTGTGGTTGCAGCAGGGTGCAAGGGTGTGGAGTCGGAAGATCGGGAGAGTGTTGGTATTGGGGAACTGTTTGAGGGCTGGGCTGGTAGAGTGCTTGCCTAGCCTGCGCGAAGCCCTGCATTCGATTCCTACCACCCCATGAAGTAGGCACAGTGGCACACGCCAATGACCCCAGCACCATCAAGGTAGAGGCAGAAGGATCAGAAGTTCTAGATCATCCTCAGATAATTTGAGGCTAGCCTAGACTATGTGAGACCCTGTCCAAATATAAGTGATTGGATGATTTTAAGGGGGAAGAAACACCATAGCTCTGGATTCAGGAAAGGCCATGCGAGCTGCTTCATGGAGAATGGATTTTGAGAGGGGCAGCAGAGAGGCCTGCTGGTGGGCTGATGCAGTGGTCCAGACGAGAGATGAAGACGGTGAAGAGGGGCAATGGGGAGAGAGCGGGAGGCATTCAGACTGCACGTTGGAAAGGCAACAGTCCTTTGGGAAAGAAACTACACGTGTGAATTCTGGGGAAGCAGACAGGAATAAGCTCCAGCCGATCACAAAACTTGGCCTTTGTCAACCACACCACGTGACATGTCTGGAATTTTCTATTACGGTTTCCTTTCTGTTTTCTGGCTATATTTCGTAAAGTTCCTTTTTAAATGGCTTATTGGCCTCCGATGTGCTAAGGATAAAAAAAAAAAAAAAAAGAGGCAGCTGGAGCTTGGGGAATTGTATCCCTATCTGTGCCTGAGTTCTACCTGGAGCTAAGATGGTGGGATGGTGGGGAGAGTGAGGGAAAGACCAGGAAGGAGTGAGCCCAGCGAGGAAGAGAGAAGAGCCGTGTCCCTAGCTCCCCACTTAGATCCCTTTGGGGCTCTTCTCTGCCCCTAGAGGTTCTGTCTTAACCATGGATGCCCTCAGAACTTCTGCCTCCTCGCTCTCTAGGTCTGAGAGGAGAATAAGGTCTCAAGGGTCTGAGAGCCGGAAACCCCAGCACCACCCATAAAATGAGTTCTAGATGCCTCAGCAGGGCCCTGCTGGCTGGGTGTCCCCCCTGCCCTGCTCTTCCTGTCCTTCCATTCTCACACCTTCCTGGAGAATTCTGCACTGCACTGGTTTCCTGCAAGGCCCAGGGAGATGCTGGGTTGGTGATATGATTTGGATGTTGAATGACCCCAAAGGTGATGGTGTTGAGAGGTTTGAGAGATGGGATTTTGTGGGCAGTCCATAGGTCACTGGGGGCATGCTCTTGAAGAGGACCATGGGACTTGGGCCTCTTCCTTTTTGTTTGGCTTCCTGGCCACAAAGTGAACACTGAGACCAATTGACCTTGGACAAGAACCTCTAAAGCTGTGAAGTGGACAAACGTTTTTTCTTTGTTTATTTTCTCAATGCTGCATTGTGGGTAAGGGAAGGCTGACGGCTTCCATTAGTAGCTGGATAGCTGGAGATAGAAATGAAGACAGAGACATGGCCTCTGTTCCATTTGGTTCAGCCTTTGGCTAGATGTGAGACTCTCGGGGGCCTCGCACACCACTGTGGACAGTAGTTAGGAGGCTGAAGCATGCGTGTTCGTGCAGGAGGAGCTACTCCAGGCACAGGGTGAAGCCTGGAAGAATGAACATTCCTGAACTGGAGGAACGCTGAGATAGGGTTAGGTGGCAGTCACCGAGCCACAGCCACCTCCGACACCATCACTCTAGGGTGACAATTCCTGGGTGTCTGAACCTTAGGTCAGGCTGTCCTTCCACCCTCTGGTCTTGCAGACACACCTGGCAGAGGTGACCCGGTAGCCAGAGGAACCTACCTCCGTGCAGGTACATCGCACACAGTATATCGTGCCTTGTGGTTCCAGGTAGGGGTGCCAGCTCTGGCCAGGGGTATATATCTTCTCACCGAAAAGGCAGACTTTGCCTGGGCCTGACAAAGCAATGAGGGGTGTTAGTCTCAGGAGGTCCCAACCCCAAACCCTGCCACATTCCTGTTCCCAGGATGTCTGAGTTGGAATCTCAGCTGGACAACACACTTGTTCTCAGGCATGTGGCTGCCCCTCTCTGAGCCTTGGCAGTTTACAGGGCAGTGAGGGGATTGGGCAATTAAAGTCTTTATGGAGCAACAACTGTGATATAAATGGTAGTTCTATTGCATCGTGGATAATATGAGGTGCAGAAAGGACAAATTAGATGCTAAAGCCACACAGCAGTTAGCACACCAGGCAGTCTAAAAGCCTGGATCTCCTGGCTCTCAGTGCGTTCACTATTCTTCTGCCTCTTCCTCATACTTGTTCTCTTCCCTTTGTCTCATTTGCACTCTCCTCTCAGTCTGTCTCTTCACACACACACACACACACACACACACATGTG